GGCTCTGCCGTCCCCTGCCCCTTCCCGCCTTGTGTCACCTCCGTCCCTACCGCCTTCTTGTCCTAGGCCCTTGGGCACGGCAGAGGGGGATTCTCGCTACAACTCCTTACGCTGCAATACCCCCCTCCTGAAAAAAAAAATCCAACAACCAAAAACTGAGCGTTGAAGATGCAGCCTCATTTATTTTGGAGGGTCCTTTCGTGGCCAGACGGCGGGGGCACCCAGCGAGAATGCACCAGCCCTGGCAGGGCGTTTGCGGGGGTGCTGCGGGGAGGGGAGAGGGAGCTTTGACACGGGGTGCCCCGAGAGAGCCCAGCCACCCCGTGCCCACAGTAACAACCCCCGACAGGCTTCTTGTGCGTCCTGGGGCTTAACCCCCTGCGGAACCGCAGAGACTCTTCCTACTGCCTATCAGTAATGGCTTCAACCCCCCCCGCCCTTGCTCTAAAACAACAGAACACTGACTTACCCGAAGTGGGTTTTATTTTCACAATAAGGGATATTCCCTGTGTTACACACATATACACACACAACGCCTGTACACGCACACAAACACTCACACTAACCAATAGAAAAGCAAGATACCAGGGTTTGGTGCTCTGCTGTGACATGAATAATTGTTGCATCGTGTAACTTCCTACATCTTGGTTTTAATTTGCACTGAACCAAACAAAGATATTTGCAATTTTAAAATAAGCACTCTATCTAATAAATGGGAACATTGTGCATGAATGCTGTTTCTTCCCCTTTTCTTTAGAAGACATTATTAGCTCTGACAGCATGCAGCTCAGGTTTGGAGGAGAGGATTTTGTAAAGGGATGACAGACAGGAAGGGCAGCAATCATGGGCTTCTTGGGCTAAAGCTTTTTTTTTTCTTTTTTATCAGAATGTTCTGTTCGATGCCATTTATCCCTGATGATAGAAAATTGCTCTGTTGCCAGGACGCTGCTGCTGAAATAGAGGGCAGGAGCCACATTTCCATTTTGCAGCTTGAAAGCTATTCAAATGAATTTGCAGAAAGGGGAAAAAAATCTAGAGATAAACAAATGAGAATAAATCGAGTTCCCCTTTCCTCTCCTTTCTTTCTCTTTCTCTTGTTCTTCCTTTCTCTTTTGTGGGGGTGTGTATGTGTGTATGCGTAAGGGAACTATTCATTTTCTACATAAGGATTTTGGTTCATCAGTGTTTGCAGTACCTGGGAAGTGCTCTAAATCAGGGAACACTTACTTTGCTGCTGTTCCAGCCACTGAACACATAAACATATTAGAGAAATTTACGTGTGCGTGCAGATGTGCAGCCACCTACGATTTCCATACGTGTGTGTGTGTCTATACAGACCCAGAAATGCAGTGCTGTGGGTTCCTCTCCTTGCGAGGGCAGAGGACACCAGAGACATGCACCATCCCCTTTCAGCAACTGTGATCCCTTCCAACGTTTACATGTTGATTTTGGTGAAATACCTCGTCGTCTCAGAACAACTGAAATCTGAAATACTTCAGCTATAGCACTGTCCTTCCTTCATAACTAATTGAGTGGGAAAATCCTCATTTTCCCTCCCAGTCCATTTAGATATTTCTGAAGTCCCAAGGAGAAGTAATAACTCATCTAGCTATAATCCAGCATGTAGCCCAAGGGCTAATTTTTAATCATTATTTTTAAATTAAGCATTGAATAAAATAAAGTCAGAAACATTATTTATAAATCGGAATTAATATAATGACGAGTAATTATGCTCTTCCTTCGCTGGTGATTCCAGCCTCAGCTCAGCTCCTCAGTTCAAATCCAAATAAACGAGACGTGTGAAGCCTGTTAAACACTTCAGTTCATTTACTCGTTCCGTTTACAGGCTGCTGTTGTGTCAGGCTGGAAATATTGCACATACATCGGCTGGGGATGTAAAAACTCTGAGGTCTGAGAGCCCGGTTACCACAAAATAACTTGAAATGAATTCTAACTTCACTTCTCTGTGCATAAGCTGGTGTCCGTGAGTCATAGGGTTTAGAAAGATTATGCAGCGTCCTCCTCAACATAGGATTTTAAGCCACCATAATATATTTGACGACATTCTAAATTTGATCAGCTTGAGTTTCTTTCACTATGTCATTTCAACTGAGCTTTACCTCTTATTAATCTATAATTAACACGTTGGCTTCAAACA